TGTGTGTGTGTGTGTGTGTGTGTGTATGTGTGTGTGTGTCTGTCTGTCTGTCTGTTACACCAGTGACTATCTAACTTGACAGGTACATGTGTGTGTGTGTGTCTGTCTGTTACATCAGTGACTATCAAACTTGACAGGTACATGGGAAATCAACAGTGTGGACGAGAACAGGTCAACAGACAAAGGACGGCGATACCTGGACGCGAGGATCGATACAGCTTCCCCCTTCGATGACTGGACAAAGATTTCAGGTAGCATGGCAGTTAATACAACTTCTTCCTCAGATATTTGAACTAAGATTTAAGGTAGCTGTATATCCATACAGCTTCCTCCTTCGATTACTGAACAAATATTTAAAGTAGTATGGGATCGATACGACTTTTTCATGCGATCTCATGTGGCAACTGGCCAAAGATTTAAGATCATTTGCTTACAAAAATAAGACTCACCACCTGAACAATCCACACAGCTGGGGGTGGGTGGAAGGTTAATTCAACGATCCAATTGCCAAAGGATGAAAGAAATAGCTCACTGCAGACATGACAGGAAAACCTGAAGCCAGACATCGTTACTTAAGTCAAGGAGACTCTATCTACCTATCTATCTATCTATCTATCTATCTATCTATCTATCTATCTATCTATCTATCTATCTATCTATCTATCTATCTTAAGTGTGAACTACCTATCTGTCTATCTATCTATCTATCTGTCTGTCTGTCTGTCTGTCTGTCTGTCTATCTGTCTATCTATCTATCTATCTATCTCTCTATGTGTAAATGTTTTGTGGTCCATCTTTGCACTTAGATCTAGACATACACAACTATATAGCCGCTTGGTGGCGACTTTCCTCATAAGAATACCCAAGAAGATGACGAATAATGTTTTACAGTATTGCACGTAAAATTTACGAGGTAACAGTTTGACGTATTACTGTAAAAATGTCTTAATTACACAACTGTCATCACCATCGAAATAGTCTAGGAGGCGGGCTGCTTGTGGCATTACCCGTAAGGGCCAGGTGGGCTGTGTCGAAATTCTCACCATAGAGAGGCAGAGATTTCATTGGGGTTTTTCTCTTCACGCAGTAGTCAAATTGAGGTCAGTTACTTACCTGGCCAAGATCGTAACTATGACACGGTGGTCGTTAGTTCATTAGATAGATAGATAGATAGATAGATAGATAGATAGATAGATAGATAGATAGATAGACAGAGAGATAGATAGATAGATAGATTTAGTCTGTTATAACTAAGTCTTGTCCTTTCTCTCTATTGATCTATTGTTGCTCCTACCGTAGATAGACTTCCTGGGAAAGAGAGGCTCTGGGCCGTACGGAGACATCGCCATTGATGACGTCACAGTAACGGAAGTGTGCCCAACCACAAAGAGACCAACAACTGTGTCGTCTGCTGCGCTTCAATCTCTCCACACTCTCGCCAGCCCCACCACGGGGTCGCTGCCCTCCTCCCTCAAAGTCGAAAAAGGTTTTTTTGTTGTTGTTTTTTTTGTTTTGGTTTTGTTCTCAAAGGGTTTTTCCTTCGTTTTCATTTCAACACTTGCCTTGAAGCGCATCAGTGGTGTAGTGGTTAAAACACTTCGTCGTCGCTCGCAGAAGACCTGAGTTTGAAACCCATGTGGAGGGTTTGGGGTTGTTTTTGGTTTTTTTTAATCTAGGTATCTCCGTCTGTCTGCTGGGACTTTGCATCCCTGCGAGCCAGGGTTGGCCCAGACATAGAGGGTCGAGGGTCCAGTCCCGCCTGTATAAATGACCTACATTGAGTGGGTTGGAGCGTAAAACGTCTACGAGTCCATCCGTCTCTCACACTTTGCTACCTCAGAATGACAACGTTCTATCTGCTTAATTTGATAAATTTGACGTCAAAACTTTCGAGTTCCACACCATGTCAAGCTGTTTCGAATGCAATTCTTTGAATATCTTGATAACGACTCCGTATACGATTTTGATAGAGCGGATAGAACATTTGGTTTCTGACCTCATGGTCTTTGTAACTATAAACGTTTTTCATTTTTCATTTTGAGCCTGTCTGTTTTTTCCTGATTCCTCATTTTCCCCGCCCTTCTTTTTCTGGCTCCTCCTCTCCTTCCTCTCCTCCTTCCTCTCATCCCCTCAGTCCTCAGCAACGATACTGGAGAAAGCGTCGCCAAAGGAGCACGTTCTCCGTCGCTCCTGCGCCGTTTCCCTTTTAGATTTTAAAAATTTTTATTATTCATGTTTGGATTTTCTAAGGGAGGGAAGAAAACTGTCGCCCTGGCAGAGCACTATACCAGGGGAGGGACAGTGGATGTCTTTACAGTGTCCTAAACCAGGGAAGGGACAGGGGATGTCTTTACAGAGTCCTATACCAGGGAAGGGACAGGGGATGTCTTTACAGAGTCCATACGCCTGGCGCCGTCCCTCTCGCTTACCAGACTTTTTTTGGAGAGAACAACGGAGCATCAATGGACATGTCCGGAGTGCAGGGATGTTGCTTCCTGAAACAAGAACAAGAACTATAAACGGCCAAAAATGTCAGATAGAACTTTGCAAGTCTGAGGTAGCGACTTGTCTTGTAGCTGCCAATTCCAACGCCCTCCTGGACAGAAACAAAGAGAACATTTCCTGGACTGAGCTCTTGTTCTTCCAGCAGGGACAGGTCCTGGGACTTGAAAAATAAATCTTTGGGTACCTTGGAATCTTACAAGGGTTGAAGCAAAAGAACAAAGCATCTGCTGTGTAACAAAGAAATATTCAGACAGTCATTTTTACCACCATCCGATATCCTCTTGCCTTCTTTATCATCTTGTGATAGACATTTTTCTATGACCTAAGAGAAGCATGTACTGTCAGAATACAGTCGGATCGCTCCTCATTATGTGTTGTACTGAAATATTCTTATTGTTCACAATGTGTGTGTTCAGTTATATCATGCGTGTGGGACTGTGGGTCTGTTTGTGAGTGTAGGCATGTGTGAGTATGTACGTGTGTGAGTGTGTTTGTGTGTGTGTGTGTGTGTGTGTGTGTGTGTGTGTGTGTGTGTGTGTGTGTGGTGCATAGATGAGTGAGGTAGAGAGAATGTGTGTGGTTTACAGCGTCTGTTGTGTTGCGTTGTGTTGTCTTCATCGTAACTCTAAATGTTTTACGGCTTCGACAACACAATTTCGATCATTCAGGAGGCGGGCTGCTCCGATCAACCATGATAATCAAGGACAACACTTGCGGAGAGGCATACTCCATCCACACAGACAGACAGAGAGACTAACTCGATAACAAACTTCCCCACTCTGGAATCGAACCCACGTCTTAATTTTAATAATAAATAGCAATTTTTTGCGCGCATACCCCCACTCAAAAGCAAGCTCAATGCGCTTTTCCCTCTATTTTTATAGATTACCCCAGCAGACCATAGTACTCTCAGAAACATTCTCAGCTTCCAGGGAAGCATAGAGTGGAAGCTGCGGATTTCACGGGCTCAAACACTAACAAACTGATAAGATCTTTCACTCACTGTCAATAGCTGGGTACCCATTCCGACCTGGGTGAAGAGGGGGAAAATTCGTGTAAAGTGCCTCTCCCAAGGACACAACGTGTAGAACCGTTACCCCACCGACGTCGGTTGGGTTCTTTTCGGTAATCCATCCACAGTTCTGATGTCTTTGAGATTCTAGCTATTTTCCTATAATCCATCCACAGTTCTGATGTCTTTGAGATTCTAGCTACCTTCACGGTAATCCATCCACAGTTCTGATGTCTTGCGACTTTGAAAACTTCTGTAACTTCACACAGTCCACGGTCGACAAGTTCAATTGGTCAAAACACAAGGGCCGCACATCGACTGGGGGCACAGGGCCGGACACTGACCACACCACCCATCACGTCACAGGTCTGTTCCCTGGCCTGGTCAGTTCTGGAATTGTTAGACATTCTCAAATCTTTGGCACTGCATCATGATGATGATGATGATGATGATGATGATGATGATGATGATGAT